GGTTATTAGTATTGTTTAGGGATGCACTATATATTGGTATTAATATCGGTATCGTCCAATATTGGTCATTTTTTTAGAATATTGGTATCGGTCCGATAAGTAAAACTGGGCCGGTATTAACATCCAGTATTGATTTCCTACTTTTTAGCTTTGTGTTTCTGTTTTGGGGAGAGGGAATTGTTAGCTGAGTGGTATCTGTTTGATCATGATGTTACTGACTCTGCACAGTCAGTAATAACTGAAGTAGAAAACCATGTCAGCTGTCTGGTTGTCTTTACAGGATCAAAAAAATTACACAAGTGTGTTTGCGTATATGTGTATATAAATAATTTGTGGGTTTGTGTAATATCAGTAAATATTGGTTAAACAGCAATAATTATATTGGTTATCGATATTGGCTGAAATTTTCATATCATCCCTAATATTTTCAGCATCTCTAGTATTGTTTAATTTTATCGTGACAAAATCATTTGCAATAAACCAAAATTCCCGTCACTAGTCTTCACYATCATCTAAACCAGGTGTGGACATCAAGACCAGTTAGTCATTATTAACATGCAAACTTAAATGCATGACATGTAAAACATAATATTCATTGATTTATCACAGGCCTTGCAGTTGTTTGCAATTTTGATATTGCAGTAAAGGTATTTTTTGACATTTGGTCAGTTGTATAACCTCTTGATGTGTGTTTTTAGGGATTGCAGTGGCAAAACCCTTTTTTGTTTATTTTCAGCTTGGGAATTTTTTATGTTTATAATGCTCCTTTGTTTTCTGTTACCARGAATTTGATGTCACATGCTAACTAGTTTTCCTGCTGTGGTTTTTAACAGCCCTTCAAAGTTCTTCCATAGAGGTGTGCGCTGGAGCTGCTGAACATTTGTTTATGTGGGTGATGCATAACCCAGTAAATTACTTTTTTTCTCTTAAATTGTGTTTTTATTATGTGAATCAACTTTGACTTCAGACAACACAGACTACAAAAGTAGTTTGATTTAGTCTGAGATAATGTACTTGATACACAGTGATAAAGATAAAACATTCTTTTGCCAAACTGATTGTTTGCAGTACTTTTTGTTATTTATACCAAAACTTGTCACTTGTGGATGATGTTGTACTCTGTTTCATGATGATTGTGTGCATGTAAATAAATACCCCTACACATCTTTTGTTTGGCAGCCAACAGATCACGCTCACTAAGACGTAGGCCTTGTTTATATGTGAACGATTTTCCATGTTAATTGTGAATAAACATGAAAAAAAAAGACACACTGTAATGCTGTTCTCGTTGAATCCCCTGTAGTTTCATGCACTGTCACTATCTGGCTCTCTGGAASTCAGTGAGACACGCGTACATGTGGACAGTTATGTCTCAAGCACAAAAATAGTAACATCCAAAATTTGTTTGGATCAAGGATGAGGTTGGATTGCTCCATAGAGTAAGACAACCAGAGTGTGCACTGCCTATCCCACCCATTGTTTACAAGTCAGTCATCATGGAGAAGCTAACATGGCACTTAGTGAGGGCAACAGTTTACAGCCAACAAAACAACTGTTTAATTAACAGCAAGCCCAACTCATCAACATATCAATGTGTCAGAAATATTTGTTTTGTCTGTTTATAACAAATTAATATAATTCACAATTAATGTTTAATTTCATACAAAAATCACGTAAAACATGTTGTATAAGGAAATACAGTGTATTGAGTATAACTATTGATCTAAACTTAACCTGATATTAGTCTGTAATGACTCACTTCCAATTATTTGAAGACTTTCCTTCCTGAATTTTTATGACCTCAAGTAGTTGATGAATTTGCACCAGACTTTTAACATGTTTATGTATATGTAGGCTCTACTAGTTGCACCTATAACAATCGGAGGCAATACCAACTACTACTTAATAATTTGTACAAAATGATATGATTCAGAATAAAATCTGTTTACTTGTTAAATGAGTGATATTTTCCCTTTTCTCTTCTGTTGGTACAACCATAACACACAGCTTTCTGGCACTTTTACATTTTTATATACATTAGATAGCTTACATACATTCTCATAATGTATTATTATTGTTATTATTATATTACAGTAGTTTTATTTTTTACATAGTCAGCCTTTACTTAGGGTTCTTAGCCAAAAGTAACATAGTACAGTCATTTCTCTTCAATGCTAATGGCTGCTGATGCTACAGTGAATAACAAGATCATGTGATCAACGCACACTCTAGTTGTTTTGTAGTATCTCTATGAGTTGCTCCTACATGTTGTAAGTTGTGAGAAGAACAAACAGAACTCTTCTGTCATTGATACAGTTGTTCATTTATTTATGTGGAAAATTTGACTGCAGTCTGTGGTCCATTTCACACTGATGCCAGAGTTTTCCAAAAACCTTGTAGACCTAGATTCAGAAAGTTTAAGTGTCAGAAAAAACAAAAGCTGTTGTCGTGTTCACGAACATCCAAACTTTGCCTTTCTTGTCACACTTTTAAACAACAGTCATCTCATGTTGCTGTTTTGGTTAAACCTTCAGAATAATGTGATGATCATGAGATGTCACGCTCAGAATATGTGTAGCGAAGGACTCCGCTACTGCCATGTCAGATTTCATTTCAGTATGTGTTAAACTGACAGTTATAGCCTTTTTTTGTGTTTTTAGTTTCAGTTAGCTATGGCAACCATCTTTAATTGTGTTGACTTCGAAACGTAATCACTTGTAAATGTACGTCTAATGATTACTTTCTGCTAGTTTCTTTAAAATTGGTCCAGTGGTTCATGAGATATTTTGGTAAAAAAACACGTGAACACATCTGCACACAGACAAGGGCCAAACATTATTCACCTCCACCTTTGCCTTCTGGCTGCATTGGTAATAAATTCATTAGCTGTTCTTAAGAGTAGGATGTTTAAATGTGCCATAAAGTCTGGTACTGACTGCAGTCTTGTATCTCCTCAGAGAGGAAAAAAAAACATGCTGAGTTGGTTGCGCCTTTCAGCTGCATGCTTACTTATGACCTGAATGTCTCAAGGCCGACTGCCTGTCTGCTCAGAGCAGAAAATACAACACTGTTGCCAAAACCAGTTCAGTGTAGGTTTGTCAGCTGCTACTAAATTTACTGTTTATTAGAATACATTAAACCTTATAACCTCACTGTAAACAATGAGGATACAACTCTGTGTACATAAAATAAAAATGTCAAGACTAAGGTCAAACTACGAGACAGGCATGGCTTCTCCTAGCTTCTATGATCACCAGGAGTGACTTTGACTCGTAGGAAATGACTAAAATCTGATGTTTGTTTTTTTTTAATGAGTCAATTAATAGAGGCGAGTATCACAATGTCTTAACCTGTGGATTTTATGTCTGATAGTGTCAGTAAAAAAAGTCTGTGCCAAGACAAAGATTCAGTTAAATGAATAAGTAAATATTTTACTACACCAACTATAGCATTATACAGACAAAAGTCCTTTTCATACAAATATGTTTTAGATTGCTAAAGTGTGTTCGTTTGTCTGTTAGGAAAATATTAACAAATGCACAGCCTTTAATAAAACTCTCTGTAACAAGTCACTTTATCATTGGACCTAATTGCACTACTCCAACTATGTTGTCTTCTCTTTTTACTGTATTGAACTGGTGTACATATATTTTATATATTTTATTAATTTTTTCCTTTATCCTTTGTATTTTCTTTATTTGTTATATTTTATACTTATTGCACCTTTACACCAAAGCAAATTCCTAGTCCAGGGGTCTGCAACCTTTATGATCAAAGGAGCCATTTGTGCTAATTGGCTAACTAAAAAAAATGTGTCCCGAGCCGCAAAATAAACTACAACTGTGATTATCAACTGGTGGTCCGTGGGCCTTTTCGGGCACCTTTACAGCCAGTGGAGGTGGCATTATAAAACTAAAAAATATATTGTGAATTTTATTATTTTTTATTATTTTTACACATCAGGACAAATGAAAAGACCACATTCAGGTAAAAAAAACTACATAGTTTATCCTGAATTTCATAAAAAACTAGTACAACAAGTAGAATTTTGATACACATATATTGTTTTTCTAATTTTTCTTTTTTTATATATTTTCTTTTTTATTGTATATAAATTTTTTGTTTTGTTTTAATGAAATGAATAAATGAAAATGAAATATTTAGGTATATATTATTTTCTAATTCTTATTACTACGTAGTCTTCGAATTCTTTAAAGCTAATTCTAATAGATACGAGAGAAAGAAGTTGGATTATTTAAGTAAACAGGCTAGCATGAGCTAACATGTTTTACGTTTTGTATTAGTAATATTGATCGTGTTTTTGCATGCAAATTGATTTCTGTTGAGTATAAAAAACAAACAAACAAAAAATTATTCTGTTATTTTTAGTCACATTTTCAAAGAGCCACATGTGGCCCCAGAGCCACAGGTTGCAGACCCCTGGCCTAGTCAGCGAATCCTGTTCATTGACAATGGCAATAAAAGTGATTCTGATCTGATCTGATCTGAAGATGTACATCTATTATAACTAATTAATATTTGGAGTCAACCTGTTTCAAGATGGCCGTCACAGCTACTTAGTCCTACCAAACCAAATATGACAATAACAGTCAATTTTACAGATGCAGATCTAATTTGGTGTGTTAATATCTACAACACAGTCTGAGTGATACACGTGTGATTTTATTTTTATTTTTAAAACTAAGCTGTTTGAGTCAACCCTGTTTGCTCTGTCAGTAAAATATCCACTGAACCACTGGGCAGATTTCATTGAAACTCAAGTAATGATTGGAGGAATATCTCACATGCAATTAGTGTAACATTATTTCAAAACTGAAACTTTATCATTTTTCGAGATAAAAATGTATTTATTTTAAACTGTGGCATAAAAATAGCAGGTAATACTGTATGCTTCCTTTCAAGTTATGCTAGGCTTTTATTTTATCCTGTTCTTTTGGTGCATTTTGCTTCTCATTTAAAGCCGATGTGTAATCAGAGACGGGTTCTGCTCACGCTGACGTCGACTATTAAATTAGTCGTTGACTATTTTAATAGTCTGGTCGTTTACTAGTCGACTAATCATGGCAGCCCTAGTGGACTTTGTGTGATTGGTCAGAAATTTGTGGTTGTGTTGTTTTATGTAAAGTGGCTGCAGTGAGCTGATCTCTGAGAGCAGTGTCTGCTGTTGCTGTCCGGGTCTGCATAGTGTATATTTAAATGTGTAAAGATAGTCAAACTTGTGGAAGGAGATTGGACAACTTGGTGCATACAGGAGACAGCATGGAGACTTAGGCGGCTCATCATGGTTGTTTTGACGGGGTAGTGGTCCTCGGCCAGACACCGTAACAAGTTCCCTCACCATCTGTCAGAAACAATGGCCGTCTCTTTGTGACAAATTTGCAAAACAGCAACAGAATTACTAGATATTTCTCCTCCATCAACTGAAAATAAAATAAGCATGCACTCCGCGACATCCCATATCTCACATCTTGTTGAAGTATAGTGGAGCCTAGTGTTTATTTATTTATTTATTTAGGTATAATATTTCTGTTACTGTGGATCAAGATAGTTTATTTGTAACTCTGGATTAAAAACGAAATAAAAAAAGTTTAACTTTACCACCATATAACAGCAACACAGTTTCAATAATCCAGTTGAGCGGGTGCACAATATTTGGTAAACCTACAATGCAAATTTATCTGTGTTTTTCATGAACAACATCTCTAAATAAGAGACGTGCTGGGTTTTTTAACCACAAGTTCTTTGTTGCTAACAATGTCCTCACTTGTCTTACTCCTCTTAGCCATTTTGACTCTCACCAAGCTTGCTCAGTTGTTTACTATCCAGTGCGAACATCTGATGTAAAGAGATCCATCCAATTAGCCAAATACATGAAGGGTTCCAATTGACTGATGAAATACTTTAAGCTTCTGTGTGACTGACAAAACGCATAAAAGCAAATTTATTCACAKTTATTGCAGTTTATGCAGTTTTTTATTATACGTTTAATGCACAGGTTCTTATCGGGATGACGATAAATTTTTGATATAATGCTTATAGTGCTTGTTGTATTTGGCTTTGTTTGTAAAATCGGTCTGAAATCTTTAGCAACATGTGACTGACAAGAAAACTCAGGCAAGCTGTTTAGTCTCACATTCAGTATATAGTTTTATTCTTGGAATAAGTCAAGAACGTTTAAAATGATCATTTATGACTTCAAAAAGAAAGCACAACAATCAAACTAAAAATAGAAATGGCTTCATTTTGTTTCACTTAGATGAAAGCGTTATGAGCACCTTTACTGAATTTTGTTTTGATTTTCTCCTCCTTCCTGTTGTCACCCTGCTTATAGATGGTCAGTGAGAAAGTCGGTGGTGCAGAAGGAACCAAACTAGACGATGACTTCAGAGACTTGGAACGGGTAAGGCCAACATCAGAGAGAGTGAATCAATGATGTTGGACTGCATGAATTTGCACATTGCAAAACTAAATCTTGTGAAATCCCAGTTTTTAGATATTTTACATAAAACTCAGTTTATTTTAACTTTAAGATAATTAGGTACAAGCTTGAGACGTTTATGTAAAAAGGTACCTTGATCGCATTAAAAATTTACAAATACTATCAAAAATTAAACAAAGTGTCAAACTTAAAGATAATTGTGTCAAGCAGTATCTCTAAAATATACTGTTTCTGTTAGCATTATAGCCAAAGCTCTGAGCAAATTCCTGTTGCCTGTTTGTATTTTATGTTCATTCTCTTTTTCAAATCCGTGCTTCTTGTAGAAAGTTGATGTAACAAGTAAAGCTGTAGTGGAGGTGATCTCCAAAACCTCAGAGTACCTCCAACCTAATCCAGGTGAGAGTCAAACTGGTCAGCAGCTTTGTATCCTAATTATTTATAGTCTTTTTAAAACTGAAACAAGTTTCTCTCTTTTTTTTTTGTCTTTTCCTTTGCAGCATCACGGGCCAAACTGTCCATGTTAAACACCATGTCGAAGATTCGTGGTCAGGTGAAGAACCCAGGCTATCCTCAAGTTGAGGGGCTGCTGGGAGAGTGCATGGCCAAGTATGGGCGGGAACTCGGAGAGGACACTAACTTTGGTAATAAATATGCGTTTGTGTTGCATGGTTTGGTACAGTATAGCAAAGATGTGTGTGATCACCTGCAGTGTGGTGCTTGTGTGTACATGTCTGGTTCTCATTGATAAACTGCTGCCAAACTCTTTCTATTTTAGGTGTTGCACTCTTTGCATGTTTCAATTTGTTTGTCAAAGTGTGAACTAAGAGTCACATTTTATTGAGCCATAAATTTTTATGTCTGTTTACTTCAGGTGSTGCTCTAGTAGACGTTGGAGAGGCCATGAAGAGATTAGCAGAAGTAAAAGACTCTCTAGACATCGACGTAAAACAGAACTTTATTGATCCACTGCAAGGGCTGTATGACAAGGACCTCAGAGAAATCCAAGTGTGTGATGCTGCAGTTCATTTTGTTTTGTTGTTGTTTGCTTGAAAAACAAACCGGCTGAACTGTCTCCATAAACCCTTCTCAGCACCATCTGAAGAAGCTTGAAGGCCGTCGACTTGATTACGACTACAAGAAGAAGCGTCAGGGCAAGATTCCAGATGAGGAAGTTCGACAGGCTCTGGAGAAGTTTCATGAGTCAAAGGAAGTGGCTGAGACCAGCATGTACAACCTGCTGGAGACTGACGTGAGAACCTTTTACATTTTACTGACGTGGAGTCCTGATATCCGTACAAGAATCCTTTTAATCAGGGATGGGCAACTTAAATGATGGAGGGGGCCATGATTTTTTTTTACATTAACAGAGGGCCACATAGTGCTGCACACTTACCCAAATGTAATAAAACTGACATTTTAAAAACATTTGTGTATACTTATGTTTACTAAACTAGCATACAGTTTAGTAACTGAACATATTTCATTCTCAAATGCATGTGTAACAGTTGTGCTCTTGTTTAAAGCAAACAAACAAAATACACAGTTAACGATGTGTTACGAAGTGCGATGGCATAATATGCCTTGAGTGCAGACTCCTGTGTGGTTCTGGTAAAGAGTTGCTGTTATTTATGTGCTTGTGACTTCAGTAAACTTCTCATATTAAGTCAAAAAGAAAAAAAAAGTAGGTCCTCTGGATGGGTTCTTCTTTAGTGAAACGTTTCGTCTCTCCTCCAAGAGACTTCTTCAGTCTGA